CACCAGTCATATGACACATCAGTCACGTAATCTCTCATCTTATGTTCATAAGAGCTCGCATACAACATCATCAAAACATTCTTATAATTTATACTCCCTCCGTCCCAAAAAGATTTACACCTTTCAAAAAAATTGTGTCCCACAATCTCCTACCCATTTCTATTTAAAAACCACTTTTACCCCTTACTTTTTCAAACCCTACCTATCACATCATACATTTTTCCTAATAATCTACACATCACATCCTACTTTTACCCATCACATCAAAAGTATTTTTGGAAAATCAACACAAAATTATCCCTTCCTTAATTTCAACTTTAGTCAAAACGTGTAAATCTTTTTGGGGCGGAGGGAGTACAAAATAAAGTCAACAAAGCTTTTATTTTGATGTCAAACATCTTCGGAGCATCCACCAGCAACACGCCTCACTGTCCTCAAGGTTGCTCATCCAGTCCTTGATCTTTACCTGTAAAAATATTAAGCATGGAAGTATCTAACGCCAAAACTAATCTATAGACTAGTATCCATTAACATATAGTCACACAATATTTGATAAATCAGCAAATATCGTTATTATGTAACACGATCAATTATTCATTTATTCTAGTTCAGATCCTATTTGTTCTTTTTCATTTAACATACTAGGGCTAAGATTAAACCACATGAGACTAGCGGAGACTCTTGGAACAGCTGGAATAATAAGTCCCCAAGTTAGCGTATTATGGGGGACCGTCGGGAGTCATGGTTATTCCAGAAACTGCCTGGAGCCACTCTTGAAACCACAAAGAACTTCTCTGAGGCGGGTTGGAGGCCCTGTCCATCAGTGCAAATAGGTCTCGGCCTCCCGTACATATGTTTTTAACCCAAGACTTGTTAGTTATGCGAAGCTCGCCTCACTATGCCTAAATCCTAAATCTTAACTTAATGGCGATTCAAATACCTTTCTTCTTTTGACAACAAAGAATAATGTCATAATATGATAACTTTAATTGGAGTACCTACGGTACTTCAATCGCAAAATTGATTGTTTCTATTCGTCAAATCTCTCCCGTAAACCTCCCACCCCGGCCCGCCCGGATCCATCCCCCAATCCCTTCAATTTTATTTCCTAAATTTATTTGACTTTTGGGTGTAAAAAATTTGATCCAAAAATCAAATAAATTTGGGAAATAAAATTGAAGGGGTTAGGGGAGGGCTGTGGTGAGGTTTACCATAAGATAAGAGAGGTAGAAAACATTAATTTTGGGAGCAGAAGACGACAGTGACTTTGTTAAACAGCCGCCCAATGCCAACAAAAATATTCTAGTGAAGCTTTTATTATCTGAAATCAGAGCACTTATTGTGCCTTGTCTTGGACTTTTCGATCGTGCAGGGCATGTGTTTGTGAGAATGATTGTGAATTTATTGATGAATATGTAGACTGTGAGTATGGAAGTATATGGTGATGGGTATTTTGCTACTGCGTTATAGAGCCTGTTTGGGAATAGCGTTAGAGATTAGCGTTAGTGTTTTGGATAAAATTTTAACGGTGCAGATTACTTTGAAAACGCTAACGCTAAACGCTGGCCGTAGATAGTCTTTTCAAAACGTTAACGCTAATCTCTAACGCTATTGCCAAGCAGGCCCATAGTCTTTGAGAAGATTTTAACTAAGTGTCATTGTGTTTCTACATCTCATCAAACAGAAGCGACATAATTAGACTTTGGTTAGTACAATTAGTAGAGTCTTAAAATGAAATGGGTGTTGATAATGGCTTACCTTTTTTTGGGTTTTTGATAATGGCTTACTGATTTTTAATTTGAAACGATAGCATCTTATTGACAAAAGTATAGGATTGTAAATGTTTGTTTGTAGACATTACTTGTGTATGGAAATGGTTGTTGATTAGGACTTACTGCTTTGAACTATCCTATTTGGGATTTCAACTTCAAGAAAACACAATGAAACTTACTGTTTTAAATGCATTGTAATAAGATTTAGTTATTGAACCTCAAAGACATTATGTATAGATTCACTCTGGAACCTTGTCATGTAGGAGACGCATAGGTCGTTTCTTCTTGCTTAGGATGATATATATAGTATATGTGCATATATGTTTCCGCTCAATAAGGAGACATAATCTATGTTACCTATATTTGTAAGGAACTAATCTTAATATGTGTGGATGTGATAGGTTTATAGGAAGATCAGCGACAAAGAAGCGTTGATTGGAAAGAGGTCAAGGGTGAAAATAGTTTGCTTTTCTAATGTCTACATTGGTGTGAAGAGTGTGAAACAAGTCCTAAACCATGTTGAATTCCACACATCCAAATCGTGGTTGTGGTTGTGCCCCAGGAATGATTGTTATATACTCTAACAATTACTAAAAAGAGGTGCGACCAAATGCAATGGGGAACAACAAAGTCATTACTTAAGGTACACCATGGCAAAAAATAGGCACATATACTGTGTGTGGCTATTTTTACCTTAGTGTACATTTGGTGTATCCCATGTAGGGTTCTCCAACCAATTTTCCAACTTTTGATATGTGGAATCCCACATTTTACCGAATCCGCACCAGAGAAGTCTTCTATGGTCTATCATCTATGGAAGTATTTTATTTGACATAGACTTCATTATGCAATCACTTACGTGAATGGAAAGGGAAAAAAAGAAAGAAAGGAAAGCCCCTCATAAAGTGTTCATTAACCATTTCTTTATAAACCCAACCATAAACGGTGTCTTTAAAATTAAGACTTCAGAGTTCCCCAATGGTTACGTACCTCATCTTTTTATTCTTTTTTCTTCGTTTTCACACGTATGGATAGATTTATATTCCGTTCTTCCCAAAAAGAATTTTCTGTTCAATCAATATTTATAAAAATTTTTATTCACTTCTTTAGTATGTAATTTTTTTTAGTTTTATGCCAATTATCTTATAAATCAAAATGAAAATATTTGAGTAGAAGTGTTCTTTATATTTTAGCTTTGATCAGTTCAATATGGTGACTAGCTCTCTTTTTTTTTATAATAAGGGAATGACCTTCAATTTATGGAGTATTTACTTTCTACCCTTTTTTCATTTGCAATAGTCCACGAGAACATAGACATGCTTTATTTGGTAACAGCGTTTTCGATTAGCACTAGCGTTTTGGATAAAATTTTAACGGTACTGATTAATTCTGAAAACGCTAACGCTAAAGGCCACCGTCAGATAGCTTTTTCAAAACGCTAACGCTAATCTCTGACGCTGATGCTAAACGGGGTGATCATACATCCCCCAAAACCTAACAAACTGCATATGTTTTTTTTAAAGAAAAGCTAAGAAACAAATTAAAGAAGGTGCATGTATTAAAAACTCAGAAATATACTTTCACATATAAGAAAAAAAATCGGATAACTAGCGGGGGGGCTGCAATAATTAATCGTGAGTATTTGTCTAATTTTTACTTTGTTGCAGTTAAAATAGATGAGATTTGACCACTAATTAAATAAAATTAATACGGAGTATATTATATATTGATATAAAAAGGAAAAAGAGACTAAAACAACAGTAAAACATTGAAGATATACCAAAATAAGAGTTTCATTTTTTTATTTTCGAAATAGGAATTAAAATGCATTTACAGTGTCAATCATGACCATATACATTACCAAGAAATATTGTGAAATACTCCGTATTCATATATAGACCTGACAAAAAATGACCCGACCTGTTTTTGACCCAAAACCGGACCTGAAAACACTGGGTTTTGATGACCGAACCCGAAGTTGACCGAACCCGAAATGATCCGCTAAAAATGGGTCAAACCCGACCGAACCCGAACCCGACCTGACCGACCCACTAAAGTAAGAATTTTTCAAAATCATACACTTTACTACTCGTTTTTAGTGTACAAATTTATATTTGCAGACAAAATTTTAATGATATTGCATAATTATCTTATTTTTTTCCAAAACTTAAGCATTTTTAAATTCCTTATATTGATTTTTATACCTAAAAAATTACTTCAGAGTTTAGAATAAATTAATTTTATAGATTTAATACATTTTTTTGATATTTTAAATTTATATAATAGAAAATATAAGTGTTAATGTGAATTTAAAAATTTTAAAAACCAAAGTCATAACCCGTTGGGTCGGCCCGAACCCGACGATACTGGGTCATGAACATACAGTTCTCAACCCGAATTGACCCGAACCCGAAATAACCCGAACTTGAAGTGACCGAACCCAAACCCGACCTGACCGACCGATTTGCCAGCTCTATTCATATACATGACCACATTGTCATAGTGTGAACTCCTATTTTGGAAATAAAAATAAGAAGATTCCATTTTGATATTTTTTCTATGTTTCACTATTATTTAAGGTGATTTCTTTTTTAAAAAATAAAATTATTAGATTAGTTTTATATAGTACTCCGGTATTATAAAATTTTTATTTAATCTAATCAATATACTTTATAAATATCACTGCAATAAAAAGATAAACATAAAAAGATAAATAAAATTCACTTCAAAAAGTCAAAACTTAACAAATTTCGAGAGAATAGAACAAGAACAACAACAAAGATGAGTAGAGTTTGAAATGAGATGTGGATATGATGCTCGCTCCATCATGCACCAACAAATATACATATGTATGCCATGACAAATAGGGATATGATGACCATGTTTGTGGCCGCCGCCGCCGCCGCCCTATGTAGTAACATTGCAGCGGAAGAAGCAGAACCGGCGGCGGCGGGGGAGAGGGCGCCGAGTGAGACGTTGCAAGCCAAAAAATAGAGACAGGAACAGACCGGCGGCGCATTATTATTATTGTCATTATTCTCAACGTTGCACGATCCATATGAAGAATTCCCGTACTTCTCCAGACACGTACTGTTACATTTGGTCGGATTGATGATTCCGTTGCCGGCGCACAGCGTCGGATCCCCTTTGGTTAGGTTGCTGGTGAAAATTTTGGTGCATTCTGAGCCCCCTGTTTTTTGTGCAACAAAATTGTTGGGAGTAGATCCCAATCCTACTGCTCCTTCATTAATTTCGCCTTAGATAAGAAAAAAAACAAGATTATGTTATTCATTTCCTCCTATTTTAAAAACTTTTCATATTTTAGGTTTTTTGGCAAACAATGACCCTTTTTTATCTAAATAGGACTAAAATATAATGACTTTCTCAATATACGATCATATGTTTTTATTTTCCAATATAGGACCATTAGTCATTATCTATTAGTCATTATTCAACTAAATGTCCAGCATCACTTGGACATTATTATTCTCACTAGTCATTATTAAGTCCTATTTAAGGAATAAAAAGTTTAAGTCCTACATTAGAAAATGACTTATGATTTAGTCCTATTCAGTGTAAAATATAGTCTAAATAAAACGTTTCATAATTTTTTCGGCAAACAGTGACCCTTTTTCATTTCCATCCGTTTCATAAAACGGAATTTCTTTGGACTTTTAAGAGAAATAAGAAGTGTACATTTGTATTTGAATTTCCAATTTTGCTCTTGATGTGATGAGTAAAAGTAAGATATGATGAATATCTTATTAGTGAAAAAGCATAATGTGATAGATAGGATAAGAAAAAGTATGGATAAAAGTGGCCGGTTTTTTAATAGAAAGTAAAAGTGTGTTGGAAAAACAAAAAAATGAAAGAGGATGTGTTTTAAGAAACGGAGAAAGTAATTAAATATACTTTTCTCACAATTTATGGTCAAAGACTGTCACTGTTTAACCCAACAAAGTCAAAACAAAAAATATTTTTAAGAGCAAAAAGAGTAATACTTAGGGCAGTGGCAATGGTACTAACGCCCTGTGGCGTCATTCCTCTTTTAACGCTCAGGGGCGTGAAACACCGCCCCCATGGGGCTTCATTCGGGTGTTATTAGCATTGCGTCAAACGTATAACGTGCGTTTTCCCTGAATTTCTTCCTTCAAACGGCTACAAGCCGTTACAAACTTTAAAAAAATCTTCTATAAATTAACTTATTTTTAAAAATAAAACTCACAAACAAAATCTTTCTTCTTCAATTAAAAAAAACTAAACACCTACAAAATCTTTTCCTCTATCTTCTTCAAATTAAAAAAAAATCATTTTTTTCATCTTTTTTAGCATGAATCTCTTCATCATCAGTTTTAATTTTTTTCATCTTTTTTAGCATTAATTTTTTAGTCAAGTGACCAAGTGAATATAATTTGCTTTCGAGAGAAGACATAACGAGATCAAGACTAAATATAATTTGTTTTAAGTTTTTAATTAATGCAATTTTTTAATTAAATTTTCTTTTTTATTGAAGGCAATTATTTTCATTTAATGAATTATTGTCGTTTAAATTTAATTAATTAATGAATTTTTATTAATTTAATTTTATAAAATATGTAATAAAAAATTAAGAAAATTAAGGTTTGAAGCCCCAGTGTGAAGCCCCGGGGCTTCATACCCATTTCTAGTGAAATTGTGAGGTAAGTTAAAGCTGACGTGGCAGAGCGAGAAATTTTGAAGCCCGATTTGAAGCCCCAGGGCCTCAAAGGTATTTCCAGTGCTCTTAGCTTCACAAACAAGATTAATTATACAAAAAATGCCAGAAGCTCACCAAGTTTGACACCAAAGATTTCACAACAAGCACAAACAATGATTGTGTATAGTAATTGTGTGTCAAACTGGATGGGTTTCTAGTATAATTATATATCCTCATAAATATATATCAAGAAAAATGCTAGGGGTACACCTTTTGTGTACCTCATATGTCCTCTACCCTCTCTTTGTCCACATAAATTGGCAAGAAATTCAAAAAAGAATCAAATAAAAATAGGTGAAGGAGAAGGGGGTGATGTACATTTGGAGTATACCTTTGGTGTACCCCTGTCATTGCTCATACCTAAAACACAAACAGAATGAAAAGCCAGGAGGAGCAGGTACAAATATATGGAAGAGTGCACCATTATATTCTTTTGAGCTCCACAGTCCACAAACAAGATTTGTTTATAGTATAAATAAATATTGCACTGGTAACTAGATATGAGCAAAATTCGACAGCTATGGGGATCCTATTAATAATAAGGCCACCGGTGTCTTTAATTTGTCATCCTTTTTTTTTCTTTGTAACTTTTGAAAGTTGGCAATACTTTTTTTTCTTTTGAAAATGGTCATCCAACACATCACCACTCCAACAATTCATATACCCTTTCTCCCAAAATAAAATACTTGTTCAGTTTACGGTGATTGATTAACGTTATTTTTAAAACAATATAAATAAAAATTAGTAAAGAATTAAAAAATAAAATATATATATTTAAAAACTTCATCAAAAATTTTATAAAATAAAAGGTGATATGATTATTTTGATTTATCTAATAATCAATCGATGAAAATATACAAAGAAAGTAGAGTTAAGTTTGACATGTAAATAATAACGGGTGTTTTTGTTGCAGGGAGATATTGAGAATTGAATAATATATTTATTAGGAAATAGAATAATATTACTTATTACATTTTTATTATATTACTTCCTTATTATATTGTTACTATAATGATTCTCTTACTTAGATTAAAATTTTCTCTTGTAATCTTTATACTTCCTTCGTCTCAATTTTGATTACAATTTTGTTTTCTCTCTCCTTTTGAGAATTTTGTTTATTTATGTGTTTTCATTATTTATTTGATAAATAAAATACTCTTGTCACCTCTTGTTTTGTAAAATTTTAGACGTAGTTTTTTAATAGGTAATTTTTATTTTTTATTGATGAACTAATTTATAAGTAAAATGATTTCAAAAGTCGTAGGATTTTACCTCGCAATTCCCAATTTGTAATCAAAACCAAGACGGAAGAAGTATATAAGAATGTATACTTTATTATTCAATAAGATCAATTATTTTCAAACTGTATCGATTTTCAGCAGTGATATCACTGGTATGTGATGTGGATTATTTAGGTCTTGTTCTTTTCATCTGATATGAATGATTCTGATTTGATTGGAATAAGTTCTGATCTGGTCTGATCTGAATATAGATACATTTAAAACTATTTTTAATCTAATACGACTTCAATACCAAAAAGTAATACTCTGTAAGTAATAAGAATAAATTGGAGAGAATGTCCTTAATTATTAATGCTACATGTAGCTTCCTTAGGCCTTCTGTTACGGGTTTTACCATGCCATATTAGGCGTGAAGGGGTGTTGCCCTTTTGGCTGGAATAGTCATCCTACCGTGGTAAGCTTCTTTTTTCTTCTTTCAACCAATCAAAATATAACATATATTCACACCTCATCACTTTCCATCACACTCACCATAATACACATTTTTCACCAGTTCACATCATACATCTCATAGTGTAAATTATCTCGACCGGTGTATTACTCTTAGCAGGGAAAAATCGACAAACTAGTGTAACAACATACACCAAAATACAAACGCATGAATTTTGACGTGGAAACTCAATCAGGAGAAAACCATAGCTTTTTTGGTTGTACCTTGCCAACAGGGGAAATTTTATTAATATTGGGGATTGTACACGGTATATAGTGTTGGCTTAGAAGCCATTAATTGAGAGCTTCTAAGCTCTTGAATAAGAAGAAAATATACTATACATATTCTAGAGAGAGAAAGTAGGCAGTGGATAGTGTAGAGAGAGGCCCTCCTTTGATGAAGGAGATCCCACCTTTTATAGGAGTAGTGAGAGCATCTACGAAAGAATATTCTCTTATTCTTCCATTTTAGTAAACAGGCCTAGTTTGGTTGTTCTCCGTAAATAATTAGAAAATTAAATATGCACTACACGTTTAGCACGGACGATATATAGTTTTAATTTTCTGTGATAAAACGTTTAGGCACAGAGCTTGGCACGGATAAATAGCACCGCCGATTTCGAGGCTCCAAAGTTCCTGGCACGGATTTTGAGTCTGTGCCAAACTTAGGCACGACTTTGTTCGTGCCTAATACGTTCTAAACTCACGGCTTGAGAAAAAACGTTAAAGTTATTAAGCACGGTTTACGTCGCGCCAAGCAGACGTTCTTTAGTAGGCACGACAAAGCAACGATAAGTGTGCATGATAAATAGGCATGGAACGTTTCCGTGGGAAATATTTGTTCTTACATAGCCATGACAAGCAATAACTGTTTCCATCGCAACACTATCCCTTACACATTATCATAGGCACGAACCATTCCGTGCCTATATTTTAAAATAATTTTGAAAAAATTTTGACTCGCAAAAAAATTTGAAGAATTAAATATTTTGTCACAAACATATCTGTGCCTAAAAAAATAATTTTAAAAAAATAAACAGGTATTAATATAATTATGCAACACCAAAAGCACCTAATAAATTACATCATAGACCGTCATCATCATCCAAATATCACATAGAAATAATGTCAATCACATGCATCACACAAATCACAATAAAGTTTTACAAAATTATCAGTGTTCAAAAAACTGTTGACATCACAACTATTTTAATTGTGTCCTTCACTTAATCTTGAAAATTTGGGATTGGGAGTGCTGAGGTTGATGAAACACCGCCATGAGAGGTTGGGAGGCATAAAATAAGCATGGGTGAGATGCCGATTCATGAAAGGGATTAAACTTTGGGTGGGGGGCATTGACGGCCAAACTTGAGAAGAAGACAGGCCTTGGGTCAAAAAACTGACTGAATCCTTCAATCCCTGAAATATAGTTAACAATTCTTGGTATTGAGCCTAATATTTCTTCTCAAGATTGGCACTTTTTCCAGAAATTTTTCTTCAAATTTCTTCTCTAACTTCTACTCCAATTCGCTCTTCACTTGGGCAACATAGTCTTTGTGGCTAGTCCCGCCCGGAGACAATGCACAAGAAGCACCAGCTTCACAACCCCTCCCAAAGACCCTAATTTTTTGTTCCCCGCCACCTCCGCGTACAAGACAAGGTCATCTTCCACTTCTTCCACATCAATGTCATCAAAATTCACAGAATTGGAACCCGATCCGGATGCTGCCTGCTGCTTTATAATGAGCTTCTCCTTGTAGTTTCTCTACATAAGTTAAGAGTAAAACAAGTCAAGTTTCAATGAAGATGAAGGTAAAGAATAAAAAGTAAGAGCATAAAAAAGATTAACTAACCTTCATTTGAGTAACTTTAGGAGACGGCTCAGATCCTTCTTCACAAATAACCGGTGAATGACCTTGATGCAATTGGGAGTGACATTGTCCTCTTCCTCCTATTCAAAAAAAATTAATAAAATTACGACACACTCATAATGAAAACAAACATAAAAACACTTACCTCACACTGCATTCCCCTGTCGTTGCACTACCTCCCCCCGGAAAAACTGTCTCCCCCCCACCCTCCGCCACCATCGCCACTACACTCCCACCAACCGCGCCACACTGCACCACTACCAAACTATCTCCCTTCGACGCCACATTGCCTCCCCCGCCGCCACATTATCTCCCTTCATTATCGCCACAGTGTCATCATATATTAACACACACACCACCACCAACGTCATATATATTACATTTATCACCACCACCCCACTACACTGTTATCATCACCATCCTTAGCACTGAAACACTTCCATCATCAACATCATTGTTGATATTACACTATCATCCTCTGACACCACAATGTCTCCCCACCACCACACTGTCTCCCTCACTGCCACATCATGACCATCACCAGTTCACCACCACACAGTCATCATTGCAAACCACATTGCCGCCACACTACTGCCATCAACGCCACATTGCCTCCCCCTGCCACACTACCATCATTGCGTCCACCATTGCCATTATCATCACCTCCACCGCCACGCTACCAATTTCATCGCCACACTGCAATCATCACCACACCCACTCGCCAACATCGCCCCTCCCATCATCTGTATCGTCTACAACTCAGCGTCGCCGTCTAGCAACCACCATTACAACATCTCCTAACCAGCGCCACCGTGTCATATCTGAATCATTTCTATCCTTGCACTATCGATGTCAACAGATCTAGACTCTAGATCGTAGATCTGAACGATGTAGGAAGAAATGCATCGTTGAAGGGTTTGGCTTTTTCTTTGGCGGATGTAAGAGAGGTAGTGAGTAGAGCCATGCGAGGGGTGGAAAAGCAGGCAGACTCGGCGAGGTGTAGGTGGCCGTCGAATCCCTAATGCGTAGTATGTTTCCATGAAAATTCAATAAAGAGTGGGGGGAAGAGACTTGTCGATTAATTTACCTCCAATTATGTTGAGCACTAAAAAAATGGGGATATTTTTATTATGTTGAGCACTTAAAAAATGCACGGAAGAAAGAGATAATGTTATTTCCCTTCTTGACTATTTATATAAAGAATTTCAAGTTTTGTATGGTAGTCCTCGAGATTAAACAACCCCAAAGACAAATAAAGGTTTTTAAAAGATAGTTGGTGGTCTTTTGGCGTGTAAAAGTAAGAGTACCTCTACAAATACAGGTGGTACAACAATAAGTTCACACTACGAACTTTTGATGTACGAACATGTTCCCGTGACTCACAATGCTAGCCCGACAGGTGTTATCTATGTCAGTTTCAACCGTAGCTGTGGAACAAGAGTTCACTTCTAGTGGCAACATTTTAACCGACTTCCGAAGTTCACTTTGCGCTGAATCACTTGAGACACTTGTTTGCAACCGAGATTGGCTCTGGGCAAGACGTCGAGCACAAGAGCCAAGCTACGACATGAATACGCAAAAATACATGGATGCAACCACGGAGGGATGTGGTAGTTCCGACGAATAACTTAGTTTTTTCTTAAATTGTAATTAGTTTTTAGGTGAGCGATTTATAAGCTCCTTCGAGAGTTTCTTTAGGTTTTTTTACCACGTCGCTTTTTTTTGAACCGTCAGATTAATAAATGTAGTTGTACTATTCAATTTTCATTTTTATAACAACTACGTTTTTAGATTAAATTGGTTTACATATAAATATATAATATTATAAAATGAAAAAAAATCAAATAGAACGGATGAGAAATTTTTGGTCAACCCGGCGGGAGGCGGTTACGGGGGAAAGGCACGGTGCTGGAACCAACCAGTGTCTAGGACTAGGAAATAGACACTCTATGTTTTAAAAATAGGGGTCCGGTTGCGTACGTGATGACATGTGGTGCTTGAGTCAAGGTATCTTTGTAAACAACCTCTCTACTCGAGTACGGGTAAGGTGTGCGCGCACACATCCTTTCGGGACCCTACTTTTGTAGGATTTAATTGAGTTGTTTTCGGTGCAAAGAATACTCTCTCTGCCCTTTGGTTATTCACTTTCCTAACTTGGCCACTAAAATACGGAGTAAATAAAAATGACTTCTATTAGCTGCCAAATTTGGAAAGTGACGAGAAGGGTAAGAAAATCATTTTTCCTCTTTCCCACACCTCTTCAAGGAGGCCAATTTTTTATATGAATTAAACCCTTCAAATTCATTTTAATACCCAAAGATGCCGGAAGATCTCCTAAGACCATCTCCAATCATATCACAATAAAGATGGAGTCTTATCCTCTCAGGGGCCTTAACTCTAGTGGTAAGATTCAAGCCTCTAAAGTTTTTATCATTTTAAAAACAGAAACATTCGAAGCAATGGTGCATATATGAATGATGAAGAATTATATGTTTATATGTAGGAAAAACAACACACAAATAGCAGAAGAGGAGCAACACTTCCAGGTTGTAGATTTTGCAGGCAGGCTGGTTCCAAACTTATAGTTGAGAAAAAAAACTTGAAGAAATTAAATGCTAGTTTCTCCCGTGCCACAAAAAAAGTGATGCTTGAACAATGTACAAATTCATAATTTTGGTAAAATGTATCACCTACGACTTACAAATATCAATCCGACATACTCCTTGTGTTCGGAAACAGCCTCCCGCTCCCGAGTAGAGGCAAGGTCTGCGTACGCATATCCTCCCGAGATCCTACTTTTGCAAGATTTTACTGGGTTTGTTGTTGGTGTTGTTGCTTCATCTAGAGTCACATCAATATATGCATTGAATGAAATATAGACAATGGGGGCTTGGCACTTTTGGCATTCTTCCACAGCCCAAGAAACACTAAGGAGCCTAATGAAAAGCTTGAGGTTAATTTACTGAACCACAAGTGAAATTACTGATTTACTGACAGCAGGGAGGACCCTTTTTGTGGTAGGGTAATCCCACATCCACTGTGGAAGGGGTTGGTGGTCAGTTTTTGTGGGTGTGAGAAAAAAATATATCTCACCCCTTGAAACATAAACATGGTATTAGGGTCCATTAATCAAACAATTATCCAATTAGTGGCTGGATATATTTGGCTTGAAAATTAAATATGAATTTGGTCGACTCAAATATACCCATCAGTTGCCAATGGAAACATGAAACTAAACAAACATGAAAAGTATAAAACTGAGGCAGCCCTATTAAGGCAGCCAGGATCATTAATAAGGAATGTGACAGATTGGTGGAAAGCATCACTGTTAAAATCTCTTCCTGTGTGACTAAAAAACCTTTCATATGCTGAAAGAAGCAGATTGGTGAACTCTGTTTTGGGTGGTATCATGAATTTCTGGAGTAGGATATTTATTGTCCCAGGATAAGTGATAAAGCAAATACAGGCTCCATGTAGGAACTACTTGTGGGGATCCAACATCATGTATAAGAAGTACCCTTTGGTCAATTGGGATGAGGTATGTTTGCCAAGGAAATCATACACCAGGTTAAGGTATATTTCAAAGGAAAACGGAATGTAAAATTGGCAGATAAATCTTCACATTTACAATTGAATAAAGAAAAGAAGCCAAAAAGAGAGAGAGCATAACAACCCAACTTCCAAGAACAGCTTGAAACTTTTTACCAAATTTCATGTGTACCAGAGCCAGATATGTTCAACCAGCTCAAGAATTGATGCCATTGATCTGTCTGGCACATCTTGTAATGATCTCACAGCCTCTGTGGTAAGAGTTGGGTTTGGCAGGGACCTTGCAGAGGTAATATGAGGCCCCAGGAGTATCACAAGGGACCATATCTCTTCTCAGAGTCTCATAGCTAATGTACTTCTTATGCATCAGCAAAACCCTCCTACTGCTCAAAGAATCCATCTCTTCTTCTTCTTCTTCTTCTTCGGCAGCCACAGCGGGGCACTCGCCCCTCGTTTTAGAGCAAACCCTTTTGGCCATTTCATCAAAGTTGCCGGCTTTCGCCGGGTTGGGGCCGATTTCAGATGCCCCATGGCAGATTCTTGATCTGGAATTCAAGAAAAGAAGGGCTAGGAAGATGGGTTTCAGCATTCCCATCATGGGTTGTGTGAAGTGAGATTTGTTGGAGTGGAATATTTAAGGAGTGAGTGAGAGTGGTGAAGTGACTGGAGTGCTGAGATTTTGGCCCACTCGGGGAGACAGATGAATGAGAGAAAACTTGTTGCATTTATGCATTCGTGACTTTTGATTCAGTGGCTGTCTTTTCAATTGTGTTCATTGTCATGTGGTGTTTTAGCAGCTTGTCCTAAACTGAGTGCCCCACCTTGGCTTCTTGCCCGGGTAGCCCACAGCTCCCCTTCTATTTTTTTTACTCTCACCAGATAAATTATTTGCCTGAGTTTTTTACTTTTTTTCAGTCATTCAAGATTTTCATGAAAATTATAGATATGTTAATTAGATAAAATAATATTGAAAAATATTTTACAAATTAAATCTAATAAAATTATTTTAAAATCAATATATAATCTCAAGTTCATTTCGTTTATAGTCAAAGTTTGTCAATTTTGATATTTTAAAATCAAAATTGAAACATTACTTTGGAACGAAAGTTATACTTCTTTTTCTTTTGAACTCCAAAATTTTAGTATACTAAAAGCATCTACACCTAAAAGTATTTTAATTGAGACTAATTAACACTAAAACATGATATATGTGTACATACTAAAATAATATCTTGAATGTTTTTATTAAAATTTATTATCAACCCTTTTAATTAGGTCCTTCATTCATTTTTAAAAAGAATTAAGAGTAAATTTTCCAAACGATCATGTATATATAAGATAAGGGTTTTCTAATATAGGAGTAATATAATTCTGTTTTTTTCTGTATTCCTCTATATCCGAGATCTACTCTGTAATAAATCATTTGTGCACTACATTTGGGGAAATACATTGTTATAAAATACTCTTTAAAGAATTCACTCTAAAAGTGGATTTGTTTACAATTCAAGTTAAAAAATTAAAAATGCAGAGTAAATTACAATCCCTAAAAAACATCACCCCTATTATTCATATGGCCAAAAGAATAATGCTTGATTATCACAAATCGTGAATTGTTCTGTTTAAAAATTAGTCTAACATATTCATTCAAAAAAAATTAAAAGCTAACCTTTTCATGTTCCTACACTTAAAAGTTCATAAGTTCATCATACAAGTCAATATGAAGGGTATACTGGTCAATACATATGAAAACACGAAGTTCCGATGATGAGAATGTTCGTAGACGAGGTCGTCACTAGGTGGTTTGAGTTGCTCGATCAATCGGATCATTCTTACGGTCGCCCAACCAACCTTGTGATAATCTGAGCTAGCGGTCACATTCTAGTGGTCAGCCTTGTTTGTCATACTTCGGACGGCCAACCTTGTGGTCATCGACCGGATGGCCAACCTTATGCTCCTCGTACCAAGGTTTTAAATTGAAGAGGTTATGTGACATCCAACTCGTAGAGAGCGTGATGGACTATGTTCATAATTAAAGAATGTCAAAAGGAATACGTGTTTGATTTATGCTAACTATGTCAAAAGACAACAATGTTCAATATCATAAAATTCCAAGTGCATACATTCAGTGAAACTATGATTAAAATTCAATCTAATCTAAAATGTCGACCTTATTTTGGGGAGCGCTCGAGGGTAGGATGCATCTCTCTCTCTCTCTCTCTTTGATCCTTGAAATAATGGAGGCTTAAATTTTGAAAAAATATCCAACACGCCATTTAGACCCATTAAAACTTCTTCCTAATTTGGTTCTCATCATATATATATATATATATAGGAAAAACTCACATCCAAAGGATTCACTTTTAGGCTTTGTGTTATGGCAGGGCTTGATGAGAGCCACATAGGTATGCCATAAGCGGGTGAGTGTGAATAAAATATGTGTGTGATGAAACTTGAAATGAGATGTGATCAAAACGTGATGGTGCGAAGGTATGAATTACATTGATTTATTGAGGTAAATGTGTATTAAATATTGATTTGTTAAAAATATTAAATAAAAAAAGGAGGCCGGGAAGGAAAGTTTGGCCCTTGATGGCCATCACATGTTAGGGGGCCACAACTATGTTATGGGGCATGATGAGAGACTCATCACCTCCCTATACCATAACACTCTTATTGTGGTACGTTGTGAGCACCCAAAATCTTGACCAAAAATTTCTCACCCAATTGTTAAAAATCTAATTTGAAAAGTTTTTTTTGCATTTAAAAAAAATATTACCTTCGTCCCTAGTCAAATTAGATAAACTTTCATCATTAATGAAATAAAAATTGTTCTCCCTTTGTTCCAATTCAAATCATCTGTCATTGTTTATGAAATTTGACTGAAATTATTTTTAATTTAATTTATTTAAAAATTGGTGTGCAATTAAAAAATAAATTTATACAAGGAGTATTTAAAAACTATTGGAGTACATCAAAAGTTTAACAAAATAAGATGTGATAAGACTATTATTTTCTCAAATTGGAACAGAGGGAGTGTTCAATATTAGTACAAACATAATTTCATTAGAATTTTCTTGCAAGATACTATTAGAAAGTTTATTTCATTATATTAATATGCAATGCAAATTTACTACTCCGTATAATTGATGGTTAAAGTTTGTTCAATTTAACTCGAAAAGTTAAACTAAACAATTACTTTGGGACGGATAAGGAATTGAAGGAGTAAAATATTGAACTGCAGATTTAATTGATGATGAATACTCTGTATAAGAAATACCAATACAATAAGAAAAGATGGTATGTTTTACTTAAGCAGAGAAGATGGCATTCCTGAGAAGCTTTGGAAGGGAATCGAATGGTAAAAAGTTATATTACTCGTGCAACGTAAGATCGCGGGTAGCCAGCCGGGTTACCTTCTCTAAAAACACAGTTAACATCAGAAAATGTATATAGTTAGGTAACAAGAGATCAAAGTATTGCAAAAATTTAGATCAATTGAAAATGATGGTCAAGCCTGTACAGAAATATAAACCCCTATAGAACTTAAGCATATCTGTGGTACCGGAATGCAGTCTCAACTCTCAAGAAGCAGCCAAAGAAGTTACGTTGGAACAATGAGGGTATTTACCGTTGGTTTTCACCCCAACGTTTGGCCTCTGTCGTTTGCAAACGGATATCTGGAGCGTTTGCACTAAATAAAGCTGATTATCTGCACTGCTATTTACATCTTCGAACGTCCTTCTGCAGATGCACAAAAGTTGAGTTTTCTGGATGCCATTTAATACTTTCAGGTTAAGAGGATGACAATTTAATATACAAGCTATAAATTAAGTAGTACTTCCTCCCTCCCAAAAGCCTTGTCTCACTTCGAACAACGTGCAAAATCTCATCTTTTTTGAAATTATTTTATTTACAAATTGGTATAAAAATAAAAAGTACAACAACGTTATTGAATCCCACAAGAATAGGGTCTCGGGAGGGTGTGTGTACGCAGGCCTTACCCCTACTTGACAGTAGAGAGGTTGTTTCCGAAGCGACCCCTATGTTTAAAACATAGAGCAGTTGTTTCTAGATGACCCATGTTGGGCGTCGAAAGTTGCATTGACTAACTACTTAACTACTAAAAGAAGCCCAAACAATTTAAAGAGTCATTTTGCTCTACTCTAGCATACCTCACAGCCAAAAATAGTGAATCTTTGGCCCCATCGCATATGATGGAAATAGGGAAAAAGACTAAAATAGAAGTAAAACATTAAAAATATACCAAAATAGAACTTCCGTGTTCTTATTCCTGAAATAGGAGTTAAAATGCATTTACATTACCAAATGTGATCATGTGCATTACCAAAAAATATAGTAATGTGCACGTGTACAGTGCCACATTACCTCCACATTACCATAGTGTGAACTCCTATTTCGAGAATAAAAACATGAAAGTATTATTTTAGTACTTTTTTAAGTTTGTCTTATTTAGGGTGATTTTACAAGGAAATATACAAATAAATAATACAAATTACACATTTCAGCATTGCATCAAAAGTTCTATAAAACCAGATATGACAAAAATATTTTATTTTATCAAATAATCAATGAAAACACACAAACAAACAAAAGTTATTAGGAGGTCAGAGTAGTAACTAGGACAAGATTTTTGGGACGGAGAAAGTAGTCTATAAAGGAATTCAGGGGAAGAATATTGACCTTAGAGAGTAAGTTTGTCCATGTTGCTTGTGTTTTTAGCCATTCCCTGATTTGATTTGCTATCCTCTTGCTCGTCAGAGGGGATTACTCGGGAACAAGAAGAGCTTGCTTCTTCATTATCCGAAGAACCTGGCCTTTCGGTCAGGAACCGCTCCCAGAACACATCATTCACTCGAGCTGGAGGTGCAGCAGATCCTTGCTTCTTACCTGATGCAGGACCGTAAGCCGAAGACTTATTGGAGTCGTCATCAATGGAAAGGTTTTTGGACTTCTGTTGAATGTTATGATCTTTAGGGTTCCCGTGTATGCCGGATCTAGACTCTGAACATCCAATCATATTGCTTGCTGGTGGTAATCTAGCTGAGTGTGTATTACAGTCAACTTTCAACGAAGAAGATGCTAAAGTAAGATTCAAATGGCAGCAAATCTGGTCATCAACTTCCTCATTAGCAGTCAATGAATGTTGAAATGAGTTCAACCTCGGACAAGCAACTCCATTTGCTTTGCTAGTTGAAGATGAATCCATCTTCAGTGTGAATGATGTTCCTGTATCTGAAAGCTCCACTGTCTCTGGGGCACATAGAGCATGAGCAGTTCTTATTTGCAAATCAATTGGCCATCCTTCAGACACTACCCTGTGCGGACTGCTGCTCCCATCTTCGTTTGAGCTTTGAGTGCTATGAGAAAGGAAAATAACATCTGAAACAGCTGGAGATAACTCCAGTCTCAGCTTATCTGAGAAATTTTGGTTACCGAACTCAGGTCTAGAACTGCTATGATTGTCTCCCAAGATAGTCTCATCCACAGGTGACGAATGCTCTTCTACTAGAGGCAATCTTCTTTTCTTTGTATATGCTGAGAAATCCATGGACTCGAGTTTTTTAGCAAGGCATTCAACAAATTTA